AGCAGCAACATGAAACAGATCAGCAGCAACATGAAACAGATCAGATCAGCAGCAACATGAAACAGATCAGATCAACAGCAACATGAAACAGATCAGCAGCAACGCACCAAGCTGGATCAGTTGTTTGGTTTATGTTGACGGCACACAGCCCTTCCTGCAGGAGCATGAGGTTTGGCTGTCAGGCTCTGGACTGAGTGTCAGAAACCATCAACTCCACCTGACAGCCTTCAGCATCATCAGGAGACTCTTGGCTTCCAGCTGCTGCTCGAAGCCAAGGCCTCAGGTTAGAGAACACATTTATACCACTTTTTATGTTTGTGTAAGATTCTGAGTTTTTGTCCCAAATGGTTTGGAAAAAAATGTGTGAAAAATCTGCATGGGATATTGGTTCTGGTGTTTTTGGCCCATTTAGAAGCAGGCTGTGGTCAAGTCCTTCTGGGATGACTAGACCATCTAAACAAACTGGTCCTGTGAGTGTGAAGTAGGAAGTGTGCTCTTGCTGCTGTGGCGTGTCTGCCCGTGGGCCTAGTCTGAAAGTCAGACGTGTTTGGTTTGGCTGGGCCGTGTAAGAGTTGGGTAGCTTCATGTTTACGACTGCTTCCCCTCGGAGGTCTCCTGTGAATGAAGCTGCCAAACCAGTAAATGGATTTTATTTATTTGTTCACCACCTTTCTCACGACTGACCAGCGCCTCTCTCTGATAGATGCTGTCTCAGTTCACCATGGTGGGCATGGCCAGCTACATCCTGCTCACGCTCACCTCCCTGGGCTTCATCATTGAGCAAAGGTAAACTTCTCCGTCCGTTATCTCTTCTGGACACGGGTCCTTATCATCTGGGTCCTTTACAGTAGAAGTAAAGAACCTTCATGGTTTTAAAGAGCACGAGGTGAAAAGACCGATTTTTATTTGTTTGTTGAAACTCGTTCAAACGCTCCAAGTGTGAAAGGCGTGATTAGCTAACTGTTAAGATCTCTTCTGGCTTTCAGAATTCAAACTTTATTTTCTTACTGTATTTTAAAAAGTTATATTTTAATCCAGTTTTTGTTGATTCTTTTGTTTGGATTTTTAAAAGCTATTATTTGGGATAAAAGAATTTGGTGCTAGGAAAAAAAAGCAAATGAAACTGAATTAGTTTTATTTAATAGTGTGCAGCCCTAAATGAAATGTAATAAAGCTGAAAGTTTTAAGTGTTTGAAAGTAAGGTTTAAACTGAGCTTTGATCTTTTCAGTATTTGCTGCTCTGGCTGTTTACAACAGTTTTCTCGTATTTTACCATTGGTGCCGACTTCCTGACAGACCGCGACTCTTAATGCCAGGAAGCAAAACTGAGCTCTGGTTTTAAAGCACGTTTGGTTTAAACACCGTCCATGTCGTGTTGCTCCATGCTCAGACCAACATCTGCGTTCCTGGAGATGCTCCGCTGCGTCGTCATGGTGACACTGCAGCGGTACGGCTACCTGAGCCCCCCCCTGCCTTCGCTGGCTGTCCTCACAGAGGTAAGATGAACTGCTGCAGTTTAATTTTAGACAGGCCACCCGCTGCCGTTCTTTCATAGACTTTTGTCTCGTCTCCATTGCTGCCATGCAGCTCCTCAGATAACTCAGCCATAAGTTGGTTTTGTTACATCAGCTGATGTTTCTGTGATTTGTTCTGGACTAAAGTAGAGATGAAGACCAAGTCGCAGAGAAAAGCCAACTCGTTGCATTTCTTGGCTTTTCCATTTGGAGTCTTCTGAGCGAGCCAATGATTGCTCAGATGATCAGATTTCAGACTTATCCCCGGAGACGCGTAAGGCTTTTATTGTGCTTTTCTCTGTGTCGCTGCTTTCCCCCCAAAATCTGTCAAATGATTTTGAGTTGAAAAATTGATGGAGTTCACCTTTAAGTGTTGACAGCTGCATACTTGAGCAGTTCAAGCTAACGTTGGCTCTGTGCACAGCCCGTCCCTGGTTTCTGCATTTGTGTCATGCAGCAGCAAAGTAAAACTCACAGCCGTTGACTCGGCCGTGCTTCTACAGCAACGTATGTTTGTGTTCATGCAAACTACATGTGGCTCTTAACAGGACTTCATGTCCACAGTCAGGGCTTTTAAGACAAACATTTTAGGTGTTTTTTATGTTTTGCTCTTTGGTTACTTATCTTGGACCTACTTTACTCCCAACTACCGTATTTTTCGGCCTATAAGTCGTGTTTTTTTCATAATTTACATGCCTAAGCGACATATTTATGGATTTTTCCATATTTATAAACCAATTTTTGTCTGAGATATGAACGTATTCATTCATTCTGACTGAAAATATTGAACACTGCCGCTAGATGGCACTCGAGTAGTATGGCATGCCGTTGTGTCTGTAATAGGTAAAAGTGGCTATTAATGACATGCACGGCTTGCCATAGCCTGCCACCTTCGTGCAGCTCGCCTGGAACAAACGTCAAATCAGCTTCATTTCGCTGCACCGCCCGGGTGAAACGCAGCTGATTTGATCATTAAAGTGCATTTATTAAAGAAAAGTTCAACTGAGACACACCTTTACTATAATGTCAAGCAAACAAATAATTGTTTTAAGTGTTAATCTTGGTAAATTCTTGTTCAGTCCTCCCGTGCACGCTCCCGCAGCCTCCATTTGGCAGCCAATCGATTTTTGGCACAACACCGGTCCACGTTTACAGGTTGTCAGCGGTGACACGTAATAGATGTGATGTATATGATGAAGTGACGTATTTATGGATTTTTCCACTTTATTAGACATACCAGTATTTGGACTGATGCGATGTGTACGGCGGAAAATGCGGCATCTATAAAAAGTGTTTGCATGGACGTTGTCTCTGTCTCCAGCCGTCTTTGGGTCTAAGTAGAACAACAGCCAGTAGTTTAATTTTCAGCTTGCTTCTGGAGCTACAAATATTATCCATGATGAGGTTGATGATTCCTCCGCTGCAGATAATGGTGGTCACTAGTTTATACAAATACTATGTTTTTTCAATCAGGGCTATTGTTGCAGCAAACGGTCAAAGTGAACGTGCAGTTGCACTGCAAGGAACGCACGGTGGGTTTTCTTTTATACATCAGGATGTTGCTGCCTCTGAAGTATTTGGTCAAACTTCTGAGCACATGATTCTAACACGTGGTTTATTCAGCTGATATGAAAACATTAATGTTGAATTTAATGTTTTACATGAATATATATATTTCTAGCACAGTTAATTGTGATAACTTGTACAAAGAGAAGTAAATAAAATCACTTATCTATGTTTAGACTGTTAGCTCCTCTGGTACTTTTAGATTTATAAAATGACCTTTTTTTAAAAAGACTTTAATAAAGTAATAATTTAATGCCAACAATGTTCAGTCAGGTCATCTGGATGGTTTCGTTCCTTCATCCAAAGGACTTCTTTGATCTGAGGAGCCACCTTTGGTGTTTTGAACCACTTTGGCATGACTGTGTGAGAGGAGTTGACGGGGGAGAGGGCGGGCCCCGGAGGCCATCTTAGCACCAGCAAACTGGTTTTTTCCCAGTATAGAGTGTGCTGTTTGTGAAGAATCAGTTTGTTTGGGGGCTCCTAAGTTTGAAGAAGTCCTTTGGAAGAAGGACGAAATGTCTCTGCTTCAAAAAGAAACCGTCCAGATGACCTTTGGATGAGCTGGATTATTGAGCATGAAGTTTGGTAATAACTAAATGGTTCCCACTTACCGGGTGTTGTGATACAAAATAAGATAACGAGGTTAAAGCTTGTTAAGCACTAAAAGAACAAACGCGATCATAGACCCTGTGAAGACTTTTATTAGTTCACATGATGTGGACATTTAGGTGGATACAAAGTTTGTCCTCTTTCTGTTCATTTGGGTAAATTTGAACTTTAACGGCAGAACAGAAGTTTTGAGCAACTTGAGGTAACTGTTCGTTTTTCATTAATTGCACCTTTATTTCTCCAGGTTAGTGTCACTGAGTCACGAGGACTCGTTTACAAGAGAGACCTGATTTAAACAGACCACAGATACACACAACCATAAACAGACATCAAGTACAAATAACAAGTAAATGAAAGTAGTGATGTAAAACAACATAAAATCAAAATAATGAAATGGTGTGTGGTGGTGTGTTATATGAATTTAAAGAAATGAGATTTGAAAATTAAAATAAAAAGACATTCTTTATCCTTATGGCTAAAAAAACATTTTAAGTTGTGTCGTTTTTTAAATTTAAACCCTCAACTCGAGCACCTTCCAACAGCCCCCTGACTGTCGCGCTCCTCTGGTGCACGTTGGCCTCTGGTCAGTGGTGGAGAAAGTACTCAAACACTGTACTTAAGTAAAAGTACAAATAAACAGACAAAAATGTACTCTAGTAAAAGTAGAAGTACCACATTAACGTTTTTACTTAAGTAAAAGTAAATAAGTACTTGCTTTTAAAAATACTTAAAGTATTAAAAGTAAAAGTACTTGCTGAATGTATTACATAATGCAGAGGTCTACAATATCATTAAATGTACAAAGTGCCTACCATATGTATATTTTCTGTAAATATTCTGTTCTGCAGATAATACATGTTTTTATTGTGTTTACTCTGTGACACAGTTCAACCTGGACTTGTGATTCTGTGTCAGAATTTCAGGGATGACCTGCAGAGTTAAAGGTCATTAATCAAAATAAGAGGAACGATTTTACCTTTGAAAGTTTTTATTTAACACAAAGCAAAACCAATGTGTCATTTTAACTGCAGTAAACACGTTTAAGTAAAAGTTCTCTGATGAACAAAAGGAGCATTAGACACAACTAACAAAGGAACATCTGATCATTTCAACTCCAGTTTGTCATCAACTAGTTAAAATATGTCTAGTCAACCTTGTAATGGGTCGATATTGAACCATATTTTAACTTCCTGACTCCATTTTCAAAACTTGGACCTGAGTGTCGAGACATTTGGAGACATCTCTCGTCTCCTAACATCATGAAGTGACACATTTTAATGTTGCACCAAGAATTTCTTGTTCAAGTTCAGAAGAAGTTGGTTTCAAAGATTTTTAAGTCCAGTCTGGCTCTTTTGGGAGAGAGAATCTGTCCTGCTGTACTGGATGGATAATCTTTCAATAGTCTTTCAATAGTCTTTCAATAATCTTTCAATAATCTTTCAATAATCTTTCAATAGTCTTTCAATAATCTTTCAATAGTCTTTCAATAATCTTTCAATAATCTTTCAATAATCTTTCAATA